ACTTAAAGATTTAAATATATAAATAAAACATAAAATCACAATTCCAACAGAATAAGAAAAAAATAGTCCTCTAAAGAAATGTTCACATCCGCATCGTTTTGGAGATGGAGTGTTTTGAAATTTAAAGAAATAATCACTTTTTCTAAAATATCTTGGAATGACAAGATTTGTCACTTACTAAAATAGGTCAGTAAAAAATTAATTTCATTCGAAAAACGGACTGTTTTCGATTTAGGTATGACTTTTTCTTACCATTACGAAGCACTTTAAATCTAACAATACTTAAATGAAATGTACCTAATCATGAGGAGTCCGAGAAAATAATTGAACTATTTCTGTTCCCGACCATGTGATGCTTTTTCCTACCTCTAACAAAATACAATGCGCTAATGAATTTTTTGACGTTCCACTATTATTTAAAATTGCATTTGTTGCAAAAAATTTATTTTTTTATAATATTTTTAGTATTATTCATAGTATAGCATCTTTCTCATACTTAAACCACCTGAATTCAAATTTTAAGTTTTCCAATTAATCCTGAAACTCCCTTCATAAAAATTGTTTTAGAGAATATTGTTATAAATACAACAAAAATTTATAACTATAACTGTCAATTTGCAGTAAAATTGGAGTACAAAACAGAATCATTCCTGTCGGTTCCAACAAGAGAATATTTTAAAATAATAATTACACCCAGCTGTAGAAGGTACATTTGCTTTTATTTAAATTTTTCTTAGATTTATTATTGGGAAAATGTCACAGCGCGTAGGAAGGAAAGATTCAAATATAGGTACAACATTTCGAAAAGAAAAAAAAAAGACGATTCAATCAATGTGTTCAATCCCACGCTGAGATTTACATTTTTATTAAATTCCCATAAATATCTTGAGTAAAATAAATACCGTATCGGTGCGCTTAACGTTTGAATTAAAAATAACCCTCACATTTATACGTGTAGTTTATGTAATGTCACCAATTTTTCCAAGGGAAGAAAAATCATTACTATGTGGGTGAGCAATTTCCACACTTTTGAGGGATTTATTACATTTTTCCGTGGATATGGGGTAAAATTAATTGTAATACTACCTATTGTTTTATGACGCAAATCAATATAGGTATGAAATATTACAAAATTACAAAAGAAATATGTTTTTGTTTCTATTCTTTTAGGAAAGTTATTACCAAAATCTTGTGTATCTGCTATATATTAGTTACAACGAAGTTTTACAGAATGTAATAGTTTAAAAATATGTAAGGTGTTTAAAAAAGTTTAAAATGTATAATTTTTAAAGTGGAAATTATAAATGAGATAATTCAGGGGTGAATATTCAGGGGCATCGTCATCCCTCTTTTAAGAGTACGCCACCAAAATTTTCCTATAAATAATAACCGTTTCTGAAAGAATAGATAGACCGATTCCAAGAAAACGCAAATTAGAAAATACTGGACACTATCAACAATAAACTTTTTGTCCAGAGTCCACAACAGAACTGTAGGTATTCCTAGAATAGCAAGTAATAATAAAACCTTTTTTTTTGCAACGTAGATTTAATGTGATATATCCGCTCTTTCAGCAAGTGTATCACATTTTTCCAATGAAACGTAGAAAGTAATATACCAGCAGTTAATTTAGGTGTCAATCATCAGACACACCAATTTTCGCTCTATTTTCGGAAGAGCCGCCAGAGTTTAATCTTACATCTCCCCACGCAATGCCGAGCCTGTGTGCGACCCTTCCGTGTCCTTCGGGTATTGTAAACAATATTAAGGGATAGGGTTCCCGCTTTCCTTAAAACGGGATCTCCAAATTGCCCAAAAAGAGGACGGAATTTAATAGGTCGTTTAAATTTTAACTGCAGTTAACTTTGACACTTGGCCCATAAATTTCTCCCCGTCGATATTTAAAATAGGTACAGGGAGGTCTGCCTTTAAGGAAACATCATATCAAAATGTGTACAAAATAACTTAACTGTAGGACTGAAATTGGCTTATACACGGTGTCACTTACTCATCATTTTCATCAAATTTAATACAAATACTCAAATATCTCTTAAAAAAGGTAGGTACGACGTAGATTTATGAAATTTATGATGGCGACTTAACAAAAAAAAATAATTCACCCAATTTGTTTATATTTATATCAACCAGTAACGGAAATACTGGTAGGCACACTAATTAATCCGATTCTGGATGGGGTAGAATTTTTTAAACGATTATTTTTTATCTCAAAGTTAATATTACGTTCTAAACTAGCAACCGTAGAAAATCCTATGTACCAAATTTGAGTAAAATTAAACGAAAATTAAATAAGCTTTTTTTATCTTCTTTGGTTTTATATTAATCTAAATTCTCGAGAAAACTCATTTTTTTATGTTGTCTTTAAAACAATATTAATGTCGTTGTGGAATCCTCTGTTAATATTTTCACATTTATTGAAAATATTCACATCAGAAGAAAAAATGTAATTACAATATAACTAAAGAAATATATCTATTTCTGGAGCATTATTAAGATATCACTTGACATCACGCTCCTGAAAAGAGTTACTAGTATCTTCGCGGACCCTTAGGTACATCTGTCAAATTTTTTCTTTAAAAATTAATATCTCAAAATCCATAAGTCCTAGGTATAAGGAATATTTAATAAAGTGACCCTCAAACACGTAGAATCCGAAAATGCAATAATATATAGAGTGTCCCATTTAAAACAACGAAGTAGGTGTCGACTTCCGGTATAATCAGAAGTGCTGGAGATTTATAGATATTTTAGTTGTGTTCGCCCTAGAGACATTGCCATGTTGCCAAATTTTCAAACTTTTCGGAGCAGCACTTTCCTAGATATCGATCGACGTAGTTCCCGGAGGGTCGCCCTATATAAAATATACAGCCTTCGTTAACAAGTTACGGGCCCTCAAAGGTGAAAATTAAAAATTTATTTTTATTTACAGTCTCTATACTATTAACTTCAGCATGATGCAAATTTGGTGATCGATAACACATGCGTATAGCTTGTTTTTGATGTTGTAATGAAACTTCATTATGCCCAAAGAACGCCAGGGACGGACTATGCCCAATAACAACCCAGAACTTTTGCATAGATGACGATCGCAATCTGCCTACATCAAAAATAAGTTCCTTGAAGAATTTGCCAACGGTTCAATGGTTCAACTCGGTAAAGTTAACAGTTTAGGAAATATTTGTGATTTTATTTCACAGCGCACATCGAGCGGCGCCTTCACCATTTTTTGTTTTAATTTTTAATTGGATATAATTACTATATTAGAACCGTACATATTTTTAAAATAAGAGCCTAGAAAATCTTAATGTCTGCTAATGTAATATTCACTACAAAATTTGACAAACACACTTTCACATAACACAAAATAGAAAAAGCAAAACAAGAATAAGTTAAAGTAAGTAAAAAAATAATTTAAAAAAAGAAAACTACCAAAATACATTTTCAAAATGGGCACCTTCCACCTCCCCACACTTCCTAAGTCTACGATTGTTATTTTGTTTGTACACGAAAAAAGCATTTCTGAGGTATGTCTAATATTATCACAATGGAAATTAATTCTTTGTGGCAATTAATTTTCTGTATTGGGGTTGAATACGCTCAAATTTTCAGTTATCCCCACAGGATAGTCCATCGGGTTCAAGTCTAGAGAACGTGGGGACCATGAAATTGTGTTTGTCAAATAGTTTTAGTGAAAATTACATTAGCAGACAGTAAGATTTTCTAGGCTTTTAATTTAAAAATATGTACGGTTCTAACATAGTAATTATGTCTAATTAAAAATTAAAAACAAAAAATGGTGGAGGCGCTGCTCGATATGCACTGTGACATAAAATCACAAATATTTCCTAAACTGTTAATTTTACCGAGTTGAACCAAGAGGTTATCGTTGGCAAATTCTTCAGGGGACTTATTTTTGATACAGGCAGATTGCGATCGTCATCTATGTAAAAATTCTAGGTTGTTATCCATTGGGCATAGTCAGTCTCTGGCATCCTGGGCATAATGAAGTTTCACTTCAACATCAAAAACAAGTTGCACGCATGTATTATTAATCACCAAATTTGCATCATGCTGAAATCAATAGTTTAGAGACTGTAACTAAAAATAGCTTTTTAATTTTTTTTTACCTTTGAGAGCCCGTAACTTGTTAACGAAGGCCCGTATGAAGAAAAATTATATGGAGCCCTGATATTATTTTGACCTTATCTATTTGTACTCGACATTTTTGTATCAAGTACCTGGACACTCTGTGTATAAGGATATGCTTCGTATTGGAAAAGATTTAAAAAATGAAATTAGGCAAACACGTGTGAAATTACTAAGCAACAAACAAGAAATAAGAAATATCTTAAAGCAGTTGAAAAATGCACAGAAAGAGGAACGTGGTTAATTAAAATGGAGAGAATTATTTAGTTATTCTATATTCTATATTGTTTTCTTTGATCTTTTGCCATATGCGAAAATTTTCCATTAATGTGAAAATTTTAGGGGCGAACAGATTCTTGCGCTTAATTTCTATTTACATACTAAATAAAATAAATTACTTGAAAAATTGAATAGCTTTAAAAAACAAAAGCAAAAGTAAAAAAGTAAAAAAATATTAAATATTTGTGTTCATATCTCGAGCACGATTAAATGTATTTCATTCAAAGGCAGAGAAAGGTCTCTGGAGATGCTAAATTGAAAAATAAAAATCTAATGTATTTTTTAATGACTAAAATCATTGTCATGTCACAATATAATCACGTGGCAAGTAATTATTCCTTGCTAAAATGTGAAAATGTTTCAGTTTCAAATAAGGGAGATATAAGGGTGGTTCCATGAAACACAGTGTATATGGTTGATTTGTATCTATTTTTTGAGGATTTTTGCATATGTAAATCATAAACGTGCGGCTACTGAATATGGACTAATTCTGACCTTTATTTGGTAAAATATCCGGAGCGTGAAATAAGGTCGTCTAAAATTATTAGGAGACTTACCGTAGGGGGTCTTTAATATGTATATATCTATCTAACGAGATGGCGCACAGATTTAATATGCTAGCCGTTGAGCACATGACGTCGAAGGCCACCCAAGTGTCACAGAATTGAGCTCCAAAAATCCAGTATCCTGAAAAAAAAGATTACAACTGTTAACAAGTATTGGCACATAGAGCGTTCAGTTTATCTTGTCGAATATACTCGTAAGATGGTCACTAGATCGTTGAAAGTATTTTAATTTAATATATGTATGTATTTCACCAGCTTTTTTCTAGTGTAGTCAAATGATGCTTGATTAGTTTTAATAAAAAAAAAGTATGGAGAGTAGTGTTGTTTAAAACATAGTATCAATTGAAACAAACACGTTGATGTCAAATAGTGTTGGGCATTAATTGATTAAATTTTCACTCAATTAATTAATTGATTAAAAAAGTAATTGCGATTAATTTAATTGCAGTTAAAATTAATTGCAATTGCACGTTGTAAATAATTTATTTGGGTCAATGTATATTAATTGTGTCTTGCAACTAAATCAATTACAATTCACTTTTTCAGTTGTTCTAAAAAACAATTAAAACTATCTAGCAGTTATCCCGCTTCGATACATACAGACACTTTAATTTTATGTGAACAGATATTTGAATAAATAGCTTATATTAACTATGTGTCAAGTTGTCAGACAGTATGTTTCAAAAGAGAGTGGTGTTAAAATGCTCTTAACTATTAGTCCAGAAGTTAGACCAAAATCACCCGGAATACGGAAATTTTTTTCTGATGAACCGATCGAGTTGCGGTTTTCGGCATTGCCTTCTGTAAAACACCGAATAGCTGAGTAATTGCCTTCTAAATTTCTAATCGGGGGTTTTCGGGGTTGGGGATTCTGAATCTGACACTAGAAAATATCCATTAATCTTAGCTTGTCTATCACTGAGAAAAATTGTCGTAGAATTGGAGAGATCCTGGACTGTCCGTTCCCAAGAGACACATTTCGTAAAATCAAAGAAATATTCCTTTAAACCGAAGAATATTTTATGGGTCATGGACTTTCAAAAGAATCTCTTGGGCCCGTGCAACTGCGGATAATGCATAACAATTAGGTGACAAAATCAGATTATCGACAATGCAGATCCTCGTGGGTGCAGGAAGCATGAATTACATCCACATTTGCATGTACAAATTGTTTTGGAACCAACTGTTCCAATCCTGAAATAATCGAAAATGTAATAGGTGATAGTGATGGAGACAGTGATGGCAGTACTGATGATGAAAATTGTGATTGATAGTGAAAGTGGTAGATAAATATATGATAGTAGTTGTCTCACTAATTGCCTTGCAATTAAAAAGAAAATTGGCTCTCAGAATAAAGTAGATTCTTTTCGTCTCATTAATTTCCTGTTAGTTTTTCTTACCCTTCTTGCCTAATCTCTGTAAATTTACGTGTGTTTACGTACAATGTAAAGATAAGCCTACAAGATCATGGTTGGTCAGCGGGTGGGGCAGTTTTATTGCAAAAATCTGATGTGCCTTTCGATGTTTTCCAGAAAGCCCACCCCACGGGCGTCGGACATACTCAGAAATCAGAATCAGCTATTGCTCTCTCAGCTATTCGATGTTTTACTGAAGCTCACCCCTTGCCCCCCTGGGGGCCCCAGGGGCGTCGGGCATACTTTTCAGTGTCAGAATTGAAATCCCCGACCCCAAAAACCCCCGAGTGGAAATTTAGAAGGCAATTACTCAGCTATTCGGTGTTTTACAGAAGGCCCCCCTTGCCCTCCTGGGGGGCCCCAGGGGCGTCGAACATACGTTTCAGTGTCAGAATCGAAATCCCCGACCCCAAAAACCCCCGAGTGAGGATTTAGAAGGCAATTACTCAGCTATTCGATGTTTTACAGAAGGCTCCCCCTTGCCCCCCTGGGGGATCCCAGGGCCGTCGGACATATTTTTCAGGGTCAGATTCGGAATCTCCGACTCCGAAAACCAAATTTCTATAACTTTAAATCAATTTTTACCATTTTTAGAAAATTCGGAAAAATTGATGCACTCCAAGATGCACTTTATGCACCCGCAATGCAGTTTCGATCCAGCCCCAATGTGTAATATATAGACTTTTTTCCTGATATTTTTCCAAAGACAATGCCGAAAACCGCAACTCGATCGGTTCATCAGAAAAAAATTTCTGATTTATTGTCTAACTTGCCTGGTCTATATTATAAGAAATGATTACTAAAATGTGATTGTCAATATTAAACTTAAATTGCTAAGTGATTGTAAAAATTAACTTTCATTCATAAATTAATCAGAAAATTAAACTTAAATTAAGAAATTATTGTCATAATTAAACTTATCATCTAAGTTTAATTATTAAAATTAATAAAAAGAAGAAGAAAAAGAAATAGTCTGTTAAATAGCATAATTTTTGCAGCACATGCTAAACATTTGATCCATTGCGGTCCAAGATGGCGTAACACTTTATGATCATAGTAATTTACCTTATTAAGATCCAATTTAAAAGTTACCCTTCTCCGCTCGCTTGGTGAGGGTGAAAAATATATGGTCAAATTATACAGGACGTGGCGTGTATAATCTATAAAAATTAAACTACAGCTTCCTAACGATATTTGTAATAGAAAAAAGTCTTATACGAAAAAGTTCTATTATGCGTTTTTTTTCTTAAATTAAAGGTCAATTATGGATCAAAATATTTTTTCTGGACCGGTTGGACCGGTTCTGTCCATGTGCTGTTATAAGTTACGTGCTGTAGACCAGCTGCATAAACAAACCGTCGTTGAAAGATAGAAAGATGCTTCTCAATTTTTGGGGAATTTTTCAGTGCAAAAGTACAGATTAAAAAAAATCGATATTTAAAAAAAACTGATATTTTCTTATTATAATAATTAATAGTAATTACTGTCTTAAATGCATTGTTGTTACTGCAACAGTTCGCAAATAAAACCACATCCGTAAGTATCTGTAGTTGCCAACTGCGTGCACTAAACAAACTCCATTAAAATATCGAACAAAATGAAATAAAGCTTACCATTTCTACAGGCATGGCACCGACGCACCCAATTTTGGCTAATATTTTCCCAAATTCCAGGTATTCCCCTAATTGTGTCAGTAGATTCAAATATATGGTTTCGTAATTCTTCCACCGTAACAATTGGAGCATTGTAAACCAATGACTTCAAGTGACTCCAAAAATAAAAGTCCATTGGAATTAGATCGGGTGACCGAGGTGGCCACGGTACAGAACCAAAGCGTCCAATCCATCGCTGAGGAAACATTTCATTCAAAAGTATCGTTACTTCTCGAATACTGTCTGGAGGAGCCCCATCTTGAAGATAAAACATGCGTGCCCGAACATGTAATGCCACATCGTCCAATAAATTCAGGCAACCGGTTCTCCAAAAAGTCAGCATTTAGTCGTCCTTCCAAGAAATAGGGACCCACAAGTATATCGCCTATTATGCCAGTTCAAACATTTACCGAGAACCGATGTTGAAAATAAGTTTGCCTAGTCGCGTGAGGATTTTCATCGGCCCATACGTGCATATTATGGAAATTCACATCATCACGGGTAAATGTCGCCTCATCTATTACACAAACATAAGCAGGAAAATCTACTTGATTGGCACATTGCCGTAAAAACCATATGCAAAAACGCATTCGTTGATCCGGGGGTAAAATCTGTTGAACTGGTTGCATATGATAGGGGTGCAACAGATGGCGCCTTAAGATGCGATGTACGGTAACAGATGAGGTTCCTACTTGCTATGCGAGTCATCGAGTACTAATTGTGGGGTCTTCGTCAATATATTTCAACATTGCATCTTCAACATTAAGGTTCACTTGCTGACCGCGTCCTTCTCCTCGAGGAATAACACTTCCCGTATCTCGCAGCGGCTGAACGCACTGTAGGATTGTATTTGTACATGGAGGTGACGTTGTGGCCATCGTTCCCGTACAAATTAGTCGCTGCGAGCGCATTTTCTCCGGCTGCACCATACACTAACACCAATCGACACGTTCGGAAATAGTAAAAGCGTTGTTTTCTCGTTTCATTGTAAAACTAGTTTATGCCCAAACTAAAAAATTAAGCAAAGTAAGAAATAAGAAACTCGTTTTTAATGTAATCAGCACGCTATTCTTATTTTTTACTTCTTTATAAAAATTACACTGTCACTATCGTGGAATTACAAAAAAAAACTTGTGTCTGCAATCTTTCTTTTTAATACTGATGGGTTGATGGGCGATGCTTACTATTTAATAATTAAGTGAATAATGAATTCTATACAAATACTGTACAAATTTTTTGACAATGTACCGTAACCTTCTTTTAGTATTACTAGTATTAGATTATACCGACTTAAATTATAAGGTTGCATCTCGGGTCGCATAAAAACATTTCCGAAGGTTTTAATAAATAACACAGGGTCGGCTTTCATTTTCGTTGAATAAATGAACTTTATAAAAAAAAAAAAAAATACGCATAGAACTTTTTCGTATAAGAGTTTCTATTATAAATATCATCAGGAAGCTGTAGTTTAATTTTTATAGATTATACACGTCACATACTGTATACCTTTCGTCTAAAACATCTAAGAAGTTTGTAGGTCGCAGTTAAATTTTGACTACAGGATCGTTTTTAGCTCATCAAAATACATCAGAAATGATATGTTCAGATTAGGGTGGCCCAAAAACAACTATTTTTTTTTTCGTGTGAAAATATGTTAGTTTATCATGTTTTAAGAGCCCCCTCAAAAAATCAGCTCAAAAAAATTTTTAATTGTTTTTTTTTAATTTTTTTTCCTCGTTATTTTATCATTTTCTAGGTTGAAAAAAATCTCGATTCTGAAAATTTCAAATCGATATTTTAATTACTAAAGGTCACTCATAATTATTTTAATTTTCAAAGTAGTGTACCTGTTTTCGTGCGACCTCTAAAAAGTAATTTTTTTATTGAATTCGATGAACAAAAGAATGGAAATAAATCACGACACTTAAATTTTAAAAAATTAAAAAACTATAATTATTTGATACTCACAGTGCGGTAGTAAATTTTGCCTCGAGAAATTTTTTAAGTGTCTCGCGAATTATTTCTTTTGTTCATCAAATTCAATAAAAGAAATTTATTAGTTCGTTGATATTTATTTTTTGAGGTCGCTCGAAAACATTTTAGGTACACTACTTTTAAAGTTTAAAGTAATAATTGTGAGTGACCTTTCAAAATCGAGATTTTTTTTCAACCTAGAAAATGATAAAATAACGAGAAAAAAAATTAAAAAAAAAAATTCAATTTTTGACGATTTTGGAAATTTTAAAAAATCTTGAACTAACATATTTTCACAAGACACGAAAAAAAAATTATTGATTATTTTTGGGCCACCCTAGTTCAGATATTGTGTAGAGCAAAATCAATTTTGGACTATGATTAAGCAATTTTTGGGTCTGTTTTGTCTAAATGTAGATTTTACAAGATACTGGCCGGTCGTACATAAATTCTGACAACGGTATCGTTTTCAGCTCATAAAAATACGTCGGAAATGATATGTCAGATCTTTGGGTTTGGACTTTTTTGTGTGCCTGATATTCTATTAATTCAAATGGCTAATCCTAAATATTAGGAGGAGCCAAACTTTTACTAATTGTAAGAGTGGTTATTAGCATCAAAATAAGTAGCACTACCGGAGTCTACATCTTCGCAAACGCGTTTTTTTTGTGTGCCGGTGTTATTTATTGTTGATTCTTAATGCATATTATTTCGTTAGAGTTTATTTTTTCACATACCTAATCTAATTTTAAATTTAGATTTGGTGAAAAAATGTTTGAGTAATTTTTGTTACAATCGAGACGGATCTCCCCATTACTAGATTTTCTAAATTAAAAGTTAATATGATATTTAGAGGCCCCAAAACTAAGTTCGTAATTAGCGGAAACAGTTTCAAAAACAGGATTTCGCTATTTCACTTAGTTTTCAGATTTCCAGTGTGTGAATTTATTCTATTTCCTATACATAGGAAGTTCACTTGCTACAAATTAACACCGATACAATGGAGACGTATCAAATGTCAAGTGAAATGCGCTTGTTAATGTCAATGGGCTTTTGTTGTAAACTGCATTAGTGGTCCTCTGACACAGAAAGTTTTCCAGAACGTAGCCTGTTAGATACTATCTCTATTACTGTCACGTCAACAGTGTGCAAGCAGTCATTATGTACATATTATAATGACGAGAGCTTCCGTGGACTCCTTTGATGTGGGCTGCCGAAGTTTTGCAACCTTGAACTAGACTGTAGGGAAATGCCATAATCGATAACGGAAAATGTTTCTGTACACGTGTGAAGGTTTACGGTATTACCTAATATGTCGTTAACCCCAGCGAATGTCATCACTAGAGAGGCCACAAAGAGGTCGGCGATCGCCAGAGATGCCAAGAAGAGGTTCCCTATCCGGCGTAGGCCCCTGTCTGTGTAGATTGCCACGCACACCAGGATGTTGCCTGCCACCGAGAGGAAGATCAGCAACGACAGGAAGGTGCCTGAAACAACAGAATTTTTGACACGAGTCAGTAAATAACTTATTAAAAACTAAGTATGGCTCGTTGATAAAGCTAATAAAGCCCTCATTATATAGGATGTTTTGAAAGAAGTACTGTAAAGTTAGGAACTGATAGAATATTTAAAAATAATGGCGAGTAATTATTGTTATTTTGAAAAATCATAAACTTCCAGTTAGAATGTATAAAATATATTGGTATATACAGGGTGTGGCGTCTTTATAGTCTAATTAAGTGAGTCCTTAAATCGCAATTTTGGTCAACTTGCCTGAATTTTTGTGACTTTTTTTTTGTGTAGAGCATAAAATTCTACACAAAAATGGTCTATTGACTTTTTCTTGTAGTATTAAAACTAACAGAGTTAGGGAGACAAGCAGTAAAATTAGTGATTTTTATAATTTTTTTCGATCTACTGTAAAAAATGTAAACTATCTTTTCGGAGAAATAGATATATTTTTTAATTTTTAATAAAAAAGTTATAACAATTTCACAAAGTGAACGTGATTTTTTATCTTTGTCGTAAAACAAAATTTCGAAAGCATTTTTTCATTATTTTAAATATAATCAATCGAATGGCATAGAAAAAATTGTTTTAGTGTTAAATCATAAAAATGAACGATAAAAAATTTGAAATTGTTATAACTTTTTTATTAAAAATTAAAAAATTTATCTATTTCTCTAAAAAGAAAGTTTACAATTTTTAGAGTAGATTGAAAAAAAAACTTATAAAATTCATTCATTTTTCGGCTTGTTACGATTTTTTTAAATTTCTGAAATCATCCCTTAATTTCTAGCCACTCTATTAATTTTAATAGTACAAGAAAAAGCCAATAAACCATTTTTATGTAGTTATCTTGAAAAACCCCTTTATTTTATCTTTTTTTCCCCCTGGACGGTTGAAACAAAACAGAGCTGACACTCAGATTAAAAATTTGAGTTGTTTTGATCGCGTCTCCGTACTAACTGTAGTTTATATTTTCTGAGTTTTCAAATATCGATTTTTTGGCATATTATACAGGGTGTAACTAAATAAGTGTAAAACATTTAAGGGGGTGATTCCTCATCGAAAAAAAGATAGGATCTTTCATATAAAGAAACTTCATTGGAGCATCCCTTGTTAAGATACAGCCCCTTAAAGGGGGTACATAAAATTTGTTTAACAATTTTTTTCACAAGCACTAAACAAGTTACAATATTGAAATTAACCTGACATTTTCTACTACCAAAAAGACACTTAGCCAGTAATTTATTTGGTTTACCCCATGGTAGTAAGGGGTGGAAAACGCAACCCCTAAAATTTATTTCCAACGTAATTTTTTGTCTTATTATTTTTTTACCATTTAAAAAATTATTTCCGATAGCCTGTTTCATTCTAAAAAAAAATGTCTCTTGAATTTTTTGCCCAAATTAAACCAGTTCGCAGTAAAAAATTATTTTACGAACAACTACAGAGATACATCGTCATAAATGCGGACTGGATTTACTGTTATTTTGTAGTTACTACCTGCATTAAATGATTAAAGGGGAATAATCAAAACTAATTTAATAATAACAAAACATACAACATGTAGAAATCATAGTAAATGTTCAATATGTCTACCTTCAGACATTACGCATGCGTCTAGACGTCGGCGCATTGAGCCACGTATTCGCTCAAATATTCCTGGAGTCTCTCTAATTACCCTGCACGCATCGATAATGCGGTTTCTTAAGTCCTCTACATCGCGAACAGGAGTACGATAAACCAAATGCTGCAAATGGCCCCAAGTAGACAAATCCAGAGGATTGAGATCCGGGGATCGAGCGGGCCAATTCTGTGGTCCTCCTCGACCTATCCACTGATTTGCATATGTTTCAGTTAAATGCTGACGTGCTACTTGACTAAAATGGGCGGGAGCCCCATCATGCATAAAAACCATATCCCTTCTGACGCCCAAAGGAACTTCCTCCAGCAGTACGGGGGGATGCACTTTTCTTAAAAATTGAACGTATGCCTCACCATTTAATCGAGGAGGTAGAAAATGAGGCCCAATTAAATAATCCCCAATAACTCCGACCCACACCTTAAGAGAAAACTGTTCTTGATGGTTAGTTTCGACAATAGCGTGATGGTTTTCATCAGCCCATATGTGGTAATTATGAAAATTAATAATCTTGTCCCGAGAAAAACTACATTCGTCTGTGAATTCGATCGTCTTCAGAAAGTCACGATTTCTTCTAATCATTTCCAGCATCCAATTGCAAAATTCAAGACGGTTCGGAAAGTCTCGCGGTAACAGTGCCTGTACTCGTTGCAGATGGTAAGGGTATAAGAGATGTTCCTTTAAAATTCGAAATACCGTCATATGATCAACATTTAGCTGGAAAGCAATCTTTCTAGTACTGGTAGTAGGTTGTTCTTCTATCAAATTAAGTACTGCTGCCTCAAGCTGTGGTGTTCTTACTTCTCGATGGCGACCACAATCCTGCGTTCTTTTGTTGAATGAACCATATTCACGTAATCGTTGATGAAGTCAGACAAATATTCTATGTGAAGGATGCTGCCGTTGAGGATACATTTCAGCATATCTTGTAGAAGCTTCTAACCCATTCCCCTGCGACAGACCGTAAACGTAATGCATATCAGCCATTTCCTCATTTGTGTATGCCATTTTAATAACAAGTGAATTATTAAAGTAACAAATTAAGAACAGAACAATACACAATTAGTATTACTTCAATTTCAAAAATTTACAAACTGACAGCTTGATTCCAATTTAATTGTCAGTATCGCTAATGGCGGCCTACTAGATAAATTAGTTTCGTATTTTCGTTTTATGGCGATATGTATCTTGTTCGTAAAATAATTTTTTGCTGCGAACTGGTTTAATTTGGGCAAAAAATTCAAGAGACATTTTTTTTTAGAATGAAACAGGCTATCGGAAATAAATTTTTAAATGGTAAACAAATAATAAGACAAAAAGTTACGTTGGAAATAAATTTTAGGGGTTGCGTTTTCCACCCCTTACAACCATGGGGTAAACCAAATAAATTACTGGTTAAGTGTCTTTTTGGTAGTAGAAAATGTCAGGTTAATTTCAATATTGTAACTTGTTTAGTGCTTGTGAAAAAAATTGTTAAAAAATTTTATGTACCCCCTTTAAGGGGCTGTATCTTAACAAGGGATGCTCCAATGAAGTTTCTTTATATGAAAGATCCTATCTTTTTTTTGGTGAGGAATTACCCCCTTAAATGTTTTACACTTATTTAGTTACACCCTGTATAGAAATTCGTTTATTTACTTAGAATAGGTAGTAGGTACCTAAATATAATGATATAGGAAACCATTAAAAAAATTTGGGTGATATTCAGATTTGGGAATTGTCAAGATTCAATTAAATGAAAATAGTGACCAATTTGACTAGGATTTTTTGTTTTAGTTCATACGAATATTGCTTTGTGACGCAATGGAAAAGATATAGCGGTTTTAGTGTAATAAAAAAAACCTTATATCAAATAGTTCTATTAGTCCAATTAACTAAGCCTTTAAATCGAAATTTTGCCAACTTGGCTGAATTTTTGATATGAGTTAGTTTAAGTTTTTCATGAAAGTTGTAAAGCAGACAATTCTACATAAAAATGGCCTCTTAACTTTTTCTTGTACTATTACAATTAACAGAGTTAGGGAGGCTAGAAGTTAAGGGAAGATTTCAGAAAAAAAAAAAAAATTTTCTAGCTCTTACCCTTTTTGAGTTATCTTGAAAAAGCCCTTTGTTTTATCTTTTTCCACCCTTGGCCGGGGGTTGAACAAAAAATTACTCTCACTTATTGTTATAATATACCTTAAACTAACTCATATCAAAAATTCAGCCAAGTTGACAAAATTTCGATTTAAAGGCTTAGTTAATTGGACTATATATTCACGTTTGTCAAGAAAATGAAACGTCAATTTTGTAGCGAAAAAATAAATCTTAGTATGGCCCTGGCAAAAAAATGTTGACATTGGACAGCTCAACTCGCGGATGTTTGCGGACCAACTAACCGAAAATCTGCGCAGATGAGTATTGTCAATTGCTACAATCATATAAATTAATGAAATGAACAAAAAGGAAGAAACAGGTTTTGTGCAATATTTAGTAAATAATTTTGGACAATGAATGCATTCCCAATGTTTTAATTAAAAGAAAAAAATAAACATAAAACTCTAATTAGTTAATTTACTGCAAATGGTAATGTGTGATTCGAGATAGAATTTTGTAGGGTGTTACAGAAAAAAAACCTCTACATCATTTTAACGGTTGACAGATTGGATCTCAGCAAACAAAAATATGCTAATTTACAGTTTTTACAGAAAATGTTGAAAATGAACGTTTCCCAAATCACAGAAGTGCAGTTACAAGAATACGGTTCGATAATTCCTGCTCCGTATTAACATTCACTGTAAACTAAGGATTATATGAACCCAAAAATAAAAATCCATAGGGGTAAAATATGGTGCTTGAGGTGGCCATGCCACAGGACTAAATTGCCTTTTCCATCGCCGAGGAACTTTACGATTGAGGATAGTTCGAACCATTTGGGTGCTGTGTGAAGGAGCTCCATTTTGAAGATACTACATACATGCTTGTATGTGTAGTGGCACATTCTACAGAAGTTGAGGCAACTGGTTCTTTAAAATGTCGTATACTCATCGCCGATTGTGCCTGCCCAAACATTTACAGATAGGCTGTGCTGAAAATGACTAGTTTCTCGAATACGGTGAGGATTTTCATCTGTCGCACCATACACTATCACCATGTCTGTCCGCTCGACAGTAGCAAACGCATTGGTGTTTTCGTTATCCATTGTCGAATTAATTTAAGCTAGGACTTGAAAAAAGCAAAATAAAAACTAAGAAACGCCCTTGCTTGTTACTTATATTTTGCATTTACACTACGACTAATATTGCACACTCTTTGGTTACTTAAAACAACAATACAACACAATCTAAGTCCATAAACACG